GACTTTATCTTTATTTACTTAAATTCCTATATTTCCTACAAGTATTGAGTTATGGCAGTTATGTAGCTTTAGTTCAGAAGCTTGGTCTTAATTTCAGTTAAGTTTTAATTTGTTTACCAGTTATTTTCTGAAACTATCAGATTTTTCTGTTGTGTTTTTTATTAATGTTTGTTAATTAGCCTACAATACTGACTAAGTCCTATCCACAGGATTAAGATGATTACTGTGTGAGCATGACACTGGTGCAAATCAAATGTTTATTCCACATAATGTGCCTTTTGAATCATAAAACAGCAGTTTCTGTGGCTTACGCAATTTTTTTTTTTTACTGTAAAACTTCTTTTGGTTTAGGCAGCAATGCATTTTCATTTTCATGTTCAAAGAGGTTAGAAATTCCAGGTGCAGTGCTTTCAAGATCTGTGTTCTCCAGCTCATCATCAAACAATCATGTTCACATATGGTGTTTACAATGAGCAGACATATGCTGTTTATGTACAGAATGAATAAACTGCTCCAGAGTTAAGACGTTTAGTGATCATTTTGTTGTCAGTCCATTTGGATAGAATCTTTATTATTATCATTATCTTATTATTGCTTAGGTTCAGTGACTACAGTATATTTACACTGAGTCAATGAAACATAATTACAGGAATATAAATATTTTGGTGTTAGGGGTGGCAGCGCATGCAACGTGTACTTTTGTATGTGTACGCCTTCTTTCCTGTGTGTAAGTGTGTATTTGTGCATATGGGCGAGTCACACACACAAATGCATTTTCACAATTGCAGGTACATTTTTTTTATGAGCACTGTCTTTACAGCTCTAAACAGCTTAGTTTACAATATATCCGCCCTGCAGAAGCATACGAAACACACACACAGAGAAAGAGAGAGATCAACAAGTAAATATACATGGCTTCACCACTCATAGCACACAGACTTGGTCTTGCAGCGTGTATGATCTCATAGTGTTTTTTTGGCATCAATAGTGACAGCCTCTCCAAAATGCATCTCCTCTTTCCATCTATCTATCTCCCTCCATTTCCTCTCTGATTCCCCCCTATACTACGTGATATTAAGTGCTGCTCTCACTGCTCCCTGTTTAGCCACTTGGCAAGGCAGCAACACATCCATCTCACTGGAAATGTTTATCTGTGAGCTGTTTACTCCACATACTCCTCCACATATACATATACTTAGTTCACACAGGCCCATTTGCACATGCACTTGCCAAATCCTAACCTTAAACCAGTTATCACCCTAAAATTCAATGATTTACATGGTGGAAGGGCCTACAGCGTAGGTGCACACCAGGTGTGCGAACACATGCACACAGAGCACCAGTTTGAGTTTGTTCTTGCAAATACTGTAAACAGAGCAACAGATATGTACTGACATGAGTATAAACACATGAGTACAAAGAAGCACAAATGTAAGCACAACTACAGTCACATACACACAGGGAAAACTTTAGACACATGCACAGATTTAAATGAACAAAGAAAATGAAAGGGATCTAAGTGTACTGGTGAATTTTTACAAGTGTTCACACTATAGACAGCATGTAAACACACACATACACACTAGAGTCAGGAAGGAATGCTGATAGAAGCTAAGGCTGGATACATGTAAACAATGAAAGAATTACCCCTGAAGACTGCACACACAGCTGTTAACACACAAACCTACACCACCAGTGAAATGTTTGGACACACTTTCAATTAGAAGTTAATGGGAAAGTGCATCCAAATTTCTGACTGATACTGTATGCACGTACACTGTATATAATAAAGTGCAGTATATCCATGCATACACACAGCACTCATCAGGACCATTACAAAGACATAGAGCAGAGAGACACAGGCTTGGAACATCAAGGCAGTGCTGAAAAGGGAGGGGTCGACTTTACAGAGAAGATGTGTGATGAGACAGATTACAGGAGAACATAGGCAGCACGTTGGGGATGGGCAACAGGGTCATCTGTTAGATCGACAGCAGATTTACACATCCTCAAGAACTAAAAGGAAAACTCCAGTCTAAGGCTTGGTTATGGTTGGTGACTGGCAAAGATTATATGGTGGTGTGTTTTTGATAAAATCACAAACTGTTCTCAGCAGCTGGTGATATCAACAATATTTAAGGAATGAGTTCATTTTATTACAGGGTAGGTCCCATTTTGGTAGTTTTGGACAGATTTTCCAGCAGTAAGCCATTATTATGAAGAGAAATCAGAGACCAAACTGTCTGATCCATCAATTCTTGCTTCATCTTTGATCTAAGACCATGTCCCCCTATGTGCATTCAGAGGCAGCACGCTGCCTCTGCTGAATTACAAGTGCTGCTGTAGAAAGTTCACATGGTTCATTAATATTTACAATGAAATGTAACCACCTTATATTGTACTTTTTAAACTGTGCACAGCTGACTAGGGCAAAGCAACTAGGATCCTATTACATACCCACAAACAAATACACATGCACACAGTGACTTCACCAGTTAACACTGTTCAGCTGAGGCTGTTAGTGAGTGCATGTGCAGCAGCTGAACAATTTACTCAGGACAGGCAGCGCACGTCAAACCAGATAGTCTCACTGTAAGTCTGTTGTAATGCATTATTTGTGGGTATTAATTAGTCATGCCTGTGTCATCCAGTGGTGTAACTAAGTACCAAGGCCCAAACTTAAACTGAAAATTGAACAAGTTTTTGCTATTGCAGGCCCAAAACTCTGGAATAGCTTGCCATTAGAGATGAGATCCACCACCACCACCCTGTCAATTTTTATTTTGTGGCTGAAAACCTATTTTTTTCTCATTGGGTTTTGAGGTGACTTACAGTAATTACTTCTGGTCCTTGTTTATGTATTTAAGGCCATTTGTTTATAGGTTATTGCTTTTAGTTTGATTTGTAACAGTGTGAGTTGTTGTTTTACTCCCTGTGCACACTGACCTAACCGTTGGCTTGTTTAAAGCCTGTCTGATCATTACACTGTTGTAACATCATCACTGTGTCTCTAGAGCTCAGCAATGAATTTTGTAAGTACAGTACTATTATAGAAACAGTGGCCAAACTTCTTCAAGACAAAGCTAAAAGTGACAGCACAGTAAATTAAAGTGGTCAACTGAGCTAGCAATTATTTAATTTTGACCTGGAATCTAATTCTGTGGTTGCCCATTTTGGCACCGCCGGAGAGGAAGACATGCTCCTGATGCCAGTCAAACACCACACATTGTCCTTCACCTGTCTCTTGTCCAGGAGAGAAGCTCCATCAAAGTGAGATGGGTGCTCATCTTCCATGTATTTGTATCTAAACCTGACACATTTGTTGTGCACTTCACCTTTTTTTGTACATCTTGTTTTTCTGTCTATATTCATTAATGTGTTATCTAGAAGAACAGATTCTTTGCTGTATTGCTGTTCTCCAGCAGATTGGCTGTCACTGCAGAAGGCAACAGGCATATCACTAAATTATTTAATTTGACCTCAGGTGTAGAAAAGGCAGCACACTCCTCCCTGTTTTCCTTTGATCATTCAGACACAGGCCAAAGGCAAACAAACACACACACACACAACACCAGCCATAAATTACAGGGAAGCAGCAAATCATTCGCTCATGCACTCCTCATGACTCAAACATTTAGCTCATGCTGTTGGCCTCTGCAAATTAAAGTGCCCACTAAAGACTTGCAAATGTGCCATGCATTATATTTTGTTATAAAATTGCGTGGCATTGATGCCAAAGCTTTCTGGTATAATGATCAATTGCGCCAGTGGTACTTTGTATGCATGTTTGGTGCTGGTATGTGTAGTGTGGAGGCTGTGTAGGCATCAGGGTTCAGACAATTCAACTGTGAAATGCAAAACACTGTGAGGATACATCAGTAGACTTGACCTATGCACAGAATAATAATGAAAGGTGCATTGTCGATAAATGGGCACTGAATAAAATTGTATATTGTATGGCAGAGCTAAATCTTGCCACCATAAAGCATTATAGGCTCAGGTTTGGATTGCTATACTGAACACACAATTTATGAGTACAGCTATGGGTAGAAGAGTAGAACATCCAGACCCAAAGTTGATTTAAGACCTCATAAGTGCCTTTTTTATAGCAGAGAACTTCCATAATTCATTATACTGAAACATTTCACCTGTCTAGGGTCATAGATCTTGTTCAGAAATGTGTGTATGATTTCAAATAACCATCAGTTTCAACCCTAAATAAGACTGTTTTGTTAACTGCTTTAAAAACAGATTTCTTTTGATCTGCACTGACTGTTTGTTCTCCTCCACTGACTGTTTAGGTGGAATTATCTGACAGCACCTCCCACACCATCACCGATGCCTATGCTGGGAAAGAATACATCATCCAGGTAACTCTTTTACATTGCTATCCAACAAACACAAGTGACAGCAGAACTTGAATATGATACAGGGGGATTGAATGTTAATGAATGAATGTTTAACTTATTAGATCTACTGAAGATGCCCTGCTGTACTCGTGTTCAACAGGTGGCTGCCAAGGACACAGAGATTGGGACATGGAGCGACTG